TTTTCCAACGAATTTTGTATGTTTGTGAAACTAAAATTTAAAGTAAATTAATTTCGATTTTTTTCTGACAGAAGAAACTGCTGACGACAATTCTCTTAACTTAAATGTTAAATAAAACAAGTCCCAAAAACAATTTTATTCAAAAAGGTATTTTTTAATGTTCGCTAATATAGCTGACTAACGATATCATAACAAATTTATTAATAAATTGAAAATTCAATATAAATGGCAGTTCGAATGGCAGGAGAAGAGGACAAATCAATCTGTCGACAAAACTAATTTCCAATACATTTGGCAGTTGGTCTCGCACCCACAATGCCAATAAACTTCCTGTCACGCGTGCGGCAAGGCAATAAGTAATTTATTTTCAATGCAGCTGTTTTTCCAAGCTGCCACTGAGATTCTGTTTAGCCAATAATTTGATGCGCTGCTCCACCAAACCCAATGGTCGTCGACGAACCAGGTGACAAGTTGATTGCCTGCAAAGTGAGTGCAAGGTTGTGAAGCTGTCATTTGTTCAAATTTATTGATTTGCGGGAAGGCGATTATAAAGTGAAATAAGTATACACACATATACATATGTACATATGTATATACATACGTATGCTGTTGTAAAAATTTTACCTTGTATATGTATGCAAGTATTAGGGCGGAGCGAACTATTGGCCCTTGAAATAATGCCATTTGACAGCTAAACCTTAAAATTAATGGCCAAAAACATTTTATGCATGAAGATATGTATATGTGGAGGTAGCGTTGTTTCTAGCTGAAATAATTCGATCCGCCCTAGTACTTCTTTGTTATTACAGATGTATTTATGTATTTGCTTTCTTATATAAGTACATAATTCTAAATTTATGTAATATCTATTTATCAAAGGTACATACTTGTAAATGATTTTCTCTCGATCAGCCCAGGGCCAGGAACGCTCCAGTTTCTCCGAGAACTAGAAATATGTATATGAATATCAAAGTTATAAATTTACAGGACATAGGAATCAAAACAAATCCAGGTTTTGTGCACTGGGTGTGCACAGCTATAGTCCGACCCATACTCTTTTATGGGGCGCAGGTCTGGTGGCCAGCCCTTATTACCAAGGATTACTTAGTTAAGAAACTAAGGGGAATTCAAAGGTCAGCGGGCGCTGGCGTAATAGATACAATCAAATGCTGTCCCAAGGATGTTTTGGAAGTTCTGCTTGGTTTAATACTGTTAGACATTTTGGGGCTCTGCAAGGAAAGACCGTTCGGGCATAGTTCCATCCTAAATGCATTCCCGCTTAAAATTAAAGCGCTGCCTCCTGTCGATATCCTTTCGAAGACCTGACTGAACTCAAGGAGAGGTCCAGTTCTTGGAAGGCTTAGCTGTCTATAGGAATTAATCAAAGATGTAGAGCGGGGTTGTAAAGCTATCCTTTCGCCTACCAGACTATAAAAGCATTTTCCAGGCAAAAAGGTTTGTTTAAGGAGACCGTGAGGTACATCAAAAAGAATGCACAACAAGAAATGCATCTTCCCAGATAGCCAAGCGGCTAATCAGGCACCTCTTGTACCTCAATTAGATCTAAACTATTGGATGACTGTATGAGAAAGCTGACCTCGACTTCTGATCAATACGAAATTACCCAACTATGAGTGCCGGGACATAGGAACATTTATGGAAACGAGGCAGCAAACGAACTAGCGCGGTGCGGCTCCACACTGAATAAGTTCCACGCGGTGGGCATCGATGCTTCTCTCAGGGAAATCAAGGACTGAATTGCCGAAATTTTACTCTCCAAGGCTAGAAAAAGGTAGAACCGAACGAGATCATATAGTATTACCCAGCAGTTCTGGGTGTCTTATGTCCCACTTAAAGCAGGGAATGACATAAGCCATTATACACACAACAAACTTACGGCGATGTGCACAGGTCCTACAGAATTGGCTTAAGCTTCAATAGGTGCTGCCGCAGCCTCGCGGTGTACGCGGGCTCAAAAACGACAGTCGCACACTTTTTGTGCAAATTTCTAGCCCTCGCAAGGGTTGGGCTAAAGACACAACCGAAACAATTATTCCAAACAGATGCTAAATTCGCCTTGCAGCAGGGTCCTATCGCGACGAACAAAGATGTAGCTCTATAAATCTCTCAACATAACCGTATTTTCTAAGACGCAGAAGCATATTAGACATAGCAGCAGGTGACGGAAAAAGTGTAATGAAAAACCTGTTCGAACTCTATAATGGCATAGCTATGCCGTTGGGAGATGATCCTCAGATAAAAAGTATGGCTGTGGTACCAAATAAGAGCTTCCACAAATAGTAATTGCTTAGTCAAGGTACTGGCTTTAAATATGCCATTCGAGCTTCTACGAAAAAATTATAATTTTCAATAATTTCTAAAAACGCGAATGATACTAATGCAGATTAAATTTCTCGCTCTTTCTTTTTTTAGTAGTATACAACTTGGGCTATGTACACTCAGAAAAAGGATTTAAAAATCTAGCAGTATAGAAAACAAAGACGCCTTCCACGCCAAATTTCACTAAGAAATTCCGAACTGTTGATGGGTGGATTAAAAATCTTCCAACATAAATCTTAAAAACATCGACGTCATTTGCTTCATCAAAGCACTCGTAATACACTCAGCACATACTCCCACATACGAACACACACATTATCACGTACACACTTACTTTCTTCTCCTTTCCGACCTCATCCGCAGCCCATTGCTTGCGATGTTTTTCTTGTTGCAAGTCATCGTAGTCGGCATGGCACCAACGCGCTTTCTTATTTGGTTTCTCCTCATCAGTGTCATCCATATCAATCTGATCCTTGACTGAATTGCTTTCATCGGAAGATTGTTTTTCTTCATCGTTCAACTGTAGCTTGGGTATTTTGCGCAAATTCCAGGTGTATGTAGTGGTTAAGAAATCATCCTCGTCATCATCGTTGCGGTTGCGATTGTTGGCGCCACCGTTGTCATTGTCATCATAATCATCCTCTGCAGCTTCGTCATCACTGTCACCGCAGTCACCGGCAACAAGTCTGGCTGTTACAACATCGTCGTCCGTATCCTCCCCGCCTTCGTCGTCGTCATCATCATCATCTTCGTCATAATCTTTAGATTCATACCGAATTCGAGACATATCAGCAGCGCCGCCTACTCCTACACCTATAACGGCACTGACATTGACATTGCCGCGCTGGTATTGCGCATTTTGTTGTTGCTTTCGCTGCATTTTCTGCTGCTTTAGCTTTGCCGGCCTCATTCGCGTTACATATGAATATTGAGCAGTTTCAGCGGCATCAACGTCACTAACATCAATTCCGGTTAGAGCGAAAGTGTAAGTACTTTTCCCGTCCGACTCCTCATCACTAGCTTCGCTAATATCGGCTCCGCCACCATCTTCGTCGCCATCTTCGCCATCCCCATAATCATCATCCGTGTCTGCCTCATTTGATTCGTAATTGCCTTCCGATGCATAATCCGATTCCGGCGTTGCGTCCTTTGGCAAGTGCTCCAACCTTACCTCGTTCAGTGTGAAAGCGGTTTTAGCAGCGGCGTTGGCCTTTGCTTTTCCCTTCGCCTTCAACTTGAGACGTTCCACAGTGCTGGCGCCACTTAACTCGTAATCCAGTGCATCCTCATCGTAAGAATACTTGCGTTGCTGTTGGCACTGCTGTAGCAGTTGTTGTTGCTGCAAATCATTGGGTTTTAATATTTCAAACGTTTGCGATACGGTGGCGAGTGTGGAGGAGAGTATTTTCGGTATTTCCGCAATTTCCGACAATTTTCGCTGCATTTCGCGCAGACGAGCTTCAATTGAAGCAGCCGATTTTACTATTTACAGTGGCGGAAGATGTTTGAAAATTATTAGGGGGAACAGGAAATTAGAAATGATAAGTACAACGTTGAGTACATCGATAAAATAAAATAGTCGATTTTAATTTAGATAACTAGGAACTGCAACCAAACGGAACGGTAAATATTAAATAATGGAAAGCAACGGAAAAACAACTACATATAGGTGGTTAAATGATTATTTATTTTTAAAAGCGAGAAAATACCATTATTTTGATTGATGCAGATATTTTGTAACAAATATCCTTAGTCGAATTTTGCTTGGCAGTAACCTACTGATGTTGTCGGTTGTGATTACGATTAATTAATTTTAATCATTAGTCGTTAATTCAATTAAAACAAAAACCGGATTAAGCGGTCCAGTTGTCCGAATTTGTGTTTCACGCTTATAAAAACACACATAAGTAATATATAAAAAAATTATAATCAAGCATGTGTGTATATTAGTAACTAGTTTGCACATCAAATTGCTTAGATTGATGGGGAAAAAAGACCTAGCCATACCTGATTAACTGGGCTTGTGTACGCAGGAAAATTCCAGCATAAATTAATTAATCACCAAACCTACTTAATAAAATTGAGGGCTAATTATTAAAAATTATTTTTTTTTTATCGCGGTTACGATTAACTGTAAAATCAAATTAAAAAAAATAAATAAATAAATGGCTACATATTTAAAAGATTAAATTGTGTTTTTTTTATTATAAAATTCATTTCAATTTAATTATCTCCGTCCTAATTTAGGGAGATAAACCATCGCATTTTGTTTCGATAATCATCCTCAAATTTATCGATTTCCGTCATATTTATACCCTTATGTTATACAAACCGAAACCAACGATATTTTGCATTAAAATTCGCGCCAACAATTTAAATTGTTCGATGTTTCAAAAAAGCTGTTTAATTAACATAAATTATTCTTGCAATTTGTTTGTGTTAATTCAATTTTAACTATTAGTAATGTAACTCATTCAGCTTAACTTCGTGCAAACTTGACAAACAAATTCCCCTTAAGAGATAAAGCATACACATTTATTACGAACATCGGCTATTTCTAAGCAGGTTATACTTAATTTACACTACGCTCATTCATTTTCTTCCTTCATCGTCAAATTAGTTATAATCCCTTGCTTGTCAGCAAAACTGAATATCAATTTATTATCATTATTCTTTTTATGGTATACAAAGCGAATGAAATTTTAAAACGCTATCATTTTCTTGACAGACTAATCACCCTTCGCCGCACTAATCCTCATCACTATCATCATATTTATTTTCGTCTTCATCCTCATCTTCGTCATCGGAATCCTTTGCCAATTTGCGACCACGGCCTCCTGTTCTTCCTCTTCGCTTGGCATTTGCTGCGTTACGCCGACCTCTAGGCTCCTCTCTCGGTTGCGTTGCTGGCTTTGTGGAACGCGAAGCTGTGGGCAGCGCCAGCAGCATATCCTCAATGGTGCGTTCCTTCAACTCGTGATTGTCGCCCACCTCGGCGAAGAAGCGGCGTATATTACGTATGATACGATGGTGTGGCAATTCCTGCGCTCGCACGAATGAGCGGGCGGTGAGTGGCGTGACGCGGCGGTAAGCATTAAAGCATTCGTTGAGGTGGCAGCAGATAGGTAGCAGCGTGGGAGGTGGATAGAAAATTTTTATTTTACAGTTATTGGTGTGACACTCGTAAAAAGGAAGGTGCATTAGTGGTGGTTTGGTGTGAGTGTTAAGATAATTGTGTTCGGTTTGTGTGTTGCCATCGAGGCTGTTTATTTGCAATGCCAATGGCATTTTAACAGCTTTGTAAAAGTTTTATTGATTTTTGGCTGAGATACGTTTGTGCCAAAAATGCACTTAAGTAAAGCACTAAAACGTAATAAGAAAACTTTCACGTGACATTTATCAAATAGCCCTGTAGGCCAAAGATCAAGGAGAAATAATTTATAATTAAACACTTTAGTTATTGAAGCTTGCAGTGGAATTTGTACGCACTGAAAATGTAACAGAGACTGGGGGAAATTAAAGTGGGCTTCACTCAAATAACAAATTTACACGGAACTTTAAAACCGATAGTACAAAAGAAGGAGAACACCTACTGGGGAGTAAGCCCAACCACAATGAGCAAATTTATTCAGGATTTTCATCTTCCATCAATAGTTGGTATTCCTCTTCAACTTGATCGACTTGATCATAGTGCTGCCTAAAGAGAGGTAAAAAGAAGCTCATTTCAAAACTTAGTCATTTTGCATTTTTGATTTTTTTGGTATCCTCATGTAGCCCTTATGAAGCCAGTAATGCTGAGTAGGTTTTTGGATGCAAAGAACTGATGAAGGCTTGGAGTTTTATGCAACTAAAAATTTACAAAAAACTCTCGTAAAAAGAATGGTCCTTGGGCACAAAAAGTAAGTTTAAGCTCTTACTCGACTACTAGTACTAAGTGTTCATGTAAATTGTAAATTTTTCCTGATCATAACACGGTTTGAGACGAGCATATACGGTCCCAAGATTATACAGACTACGTGGTACCTTGGCCGATCTTCTCTATGTTCCTCAGAGCCATAGTAGAAGTTGATGATTGGCGAACTGGTATAAGTACGAGTAGGAACTCGATGCACAGAAATTAATTGCAGTGGTTAAGAAGGCGGTGAACCTAACAGCAACGGATCAAACAAGCTGTGTGTGTGTGTGTGTTACTCCTTTACTGGGTTTCGGAGCAGAAGGGAATCCAGCGAATATTGTGAACGCTGTCAGTAATTCAACGCTGCTAGAAAACAAAGAGGCCTCCTCACGCCCACAGGGACTCAAAAGGTGGTCGGCGAATTACCTGTGTGGTCGACATTCGTCAGTAATTTTTAGAGACAAAACCAGCAAGCTACAAAAAATTAAACAGAGATTACCATAGGGTGGTGTCCTTATGTCTCAAAGCTCCCTCAGCCACCAGAGGGTGTAAATATTGTATGGGTGTATGATGTATTATGGAACGAATTTCCGTCATCCCTTGTCAAATTTGGTTTGGAGACATAAATATTGTATCTTATACTGACAATTGTTCGATCATGGCGTTTGGGAATGGAATTGATGACTTGTGCTCGAAAGTAAACGGTTATCTCGCCGAACTTTATCGCTTTTTCACTGTAAGGAGCCTTGCCTTATCCCCTGCGAAATTCGCGGCAACCCTATTCACCACCTGGACGAAGGAGGTCAGACTGCAACTGGGTATTCACGTTGATGATGTAGCAATACCGACGATGAATAACTCGAAAATACTCGGAGTTACCTTCGACAGTCTGCGCCCCTTCTCGGCGCATACAACCGCAATTGTCAACAAAGTCCAGGGCCGCAACAATGTCCTCAAGTCGCTGGCCGGCAGCACTTAAGGGCAAAGATAAAGAAACAAGGCAATTGGGCGGCCGGTTCTAAACTATGCAGCACCCGTGTGATCGCCTGGGATTAGCAGGACGCATTGGATGAAGCTACAGACTTGCCAGAATACGGCACCACGGACAGCTACCAGATTCCTCCTGATGGCGCCCCACCACCACCTACACGACGAGGCCCTGATGCTCCCAGTTAAGGAGCATAACACAATGCTCTGCAAACAGTTCCTTGTGGGGAGCCACAGACATGGTGATCATAGCAAACAGCTGCATGCAGAAGAGCCCTCGCCAAGGAGGTATCTCTACGAACTGACGGACGAAGTCCAGAGGTTCATCAAACAACCTCTGGACCCGTCAGCCTACCGAAAAGCCCTGAACGGCATTCACAGGGAATCAGTCTCTAGTTATGTAGACTCCCGCCTTGTGAATGCCGTTCTAGGCACACCTCCACCTGACGTAGACGGCACAGAACTTTGTCTGCCTCGGGAGACCCGCACCAAAATAGCCCAACTTTGCTCTGGCTATTGCAGCAGGCTAAACTCATACCTGAGCAGAATTAATGAGGATGTGCCCAACCAGTGGAGAGTCGTCACATGACTCTCGGCACCTCTTCACATGCCCTGAGAACCCCACCCAGCTGACGTCCCTGTCCTTAAGGACAGACCCGGTTGAAGTCGCATACTTCCTGGGCCTCCCCTTAGCTGAAACAGACGACAACGTTGACGGATGAATCGAACCTAGCGGGGCTTAGTAGCCGCTACAACAACAACAACAACAGCCCTCTAGCATAACTGTTTCTTCGCCTCTTAAGCAGTAGAGTTACATATTCAGAAAAAGGTGAGGCGGGCTCAGCAACAGAATAGCTTTACAGTTTAATGACTTATTTTCGGTCCCCCACCCTCTGTAATATACAAAGGGCCTATTCCTTTTAATCAGCCGAAATCTCTTATAATTTAATTTTTATCCCAAAGACCTTATGTAGGTACATTGATATCGTGTCTATGTCTTCAGTAAATAAATACTGAAACCCTTTAAAAAATGCAAGAATGTTCTCACTTACTTAATTACCCAACTTCTAATTTACTGGACATGATAAAGCCCATTCTACTAGTACCATTACTTCTTAATCTTCCTAGACCAATTTCTATTTTAAAATTCGTTAATGAAAGAAGCTCTTCAATCACCGCGCAAATATCGAATTCCACTGGTCAATAATTCATGAATGCGCTTCCATCAAAGTGTCAATTAGTGGTTGGAAAGAAGGAAAACATGGAAGAAAACATTATCATATCGAATGCTGAAGTGCATTAAGCAAATCACCTTTTCCTCTTCTTCCTCAGAGGACTCGTCTTCACTCAATTCAATGATAACTTCATTGCCCTCTTCATCGATTTCGGTTTTGGTTTTCTTTTTCTTCGGTTTTGGTGGCTCGGGTGGATCGTGCCACATTATGGGATGCCAAAAACGGCTGCCTAGCAATGGGGTTGGGTTGAACTCTACGAAAAATAAACGAAATAGATAAACCAAGAAGACCGCGTTAGTGAGTGAG